TTCCTTTTCTTTTCTTGTTTGGGGAGAAAATTGGGATTTAAGTAGCTATTCAGCTGTCACCATACTCAGATATTCAGAGGTCTTATTTCCTCTAATTTTTTAAAGACTCTGTGTAAGATTGATATTATTTCTTCTTAACTGTTTAGCAGAATTCACTAGTGAAACTATCAGGGCCTCAAATTTTTTTGGTAGAAAAGGTTTTTGATAATGAATTCGATGTCTTTTAAAAGTAAAGAACTGTTCAGTTTTTCTATTTCTGGAGTCATTTTGAGTAAATTATATTTTTAAAGGGATTTGTCCATTCAATCTACATTACCAAATATATTAGCTTGAAGTTGTTCATAATATTTCCTATTCTCATTTTTAATGTCTATAGAATTTGTGGTCATACCTCCTCTTTCATTCCTGATACTAGTAATTCATGTTTTCTCTCATTTTTATTCTTGACTAGTCTTGCTATTTTGTTATCTTTTTAATACCAAACTTTGGCTTTGGAATTGTATTGTGTGTACGTCTTACAACTTTGTTTCTCCTTACTTTGGGTTTAATTTATACTTCTTTTTTGCAGCTTCTTCAAATAGAAACTTGTATTTTTTACTTTAAATCCTTCTTTCTAATTAGGCATTCAAAGTTATGAATTTCTCTGTAAGTACTTTAAATGCATCCCACAAATTTTGATATGTTGTATTTTCACTACTGTGCAGTTTGAAATATTTTCTTTGACCCCTGGGATATTTAAAAATGTGTTGCTTAACTTATACATACTTGAGGATTTTCTAGGTATATTTTTTGTTATGGATAATTTAATTCATTGGTAGTCAAAGAATATACCTTGTAATTTCAATCTTTGAAATTTATTGAGACTTAGTTTATAACCCAATTTATATCCTATGTAGGTGAATGTTTCATGTTCATTTGAAAAGAATTATATTTTGCAGTTGTTCAGTGCAGTGTTTTACAAATGTTGATTAAGCCAAGTCAATAGTGTTCAGATCTCTACATCTTTATTAATATTTTGTATAGTGTTTTAACATTAATGAGCAAGGGATGTTAAAATCTCCAACTATGGCTGTGTTTGTCTATTCTTCCTTTTAGTCTGTCAGCTTTTGCTTCATGTATTTTAAATGTGTCATTAGGTACAAACACATTACAGATTAGATATCTTACATATGAACTGCCCCTCTTATAAACATTATGAAGTGTCCCTCCTGCTATTTCTAGTAATACTCTTTGAGTAGAAGTCTACTCCAATATTAATATACCAAAGCCACTTTTCTTATGCTTGGTGTTTACACAGTATATCTTTGTTTTACACTTTATCTGTGTCTTTAAAGTGTGTCTCTTTTTAGAAAGCTTACAGTTGAGTCTTGCTTTTTTACTCAGTCTGATAATCTCTGCCTTTTATTTGGAATATTTGGCCTATTTGCATTTAGTGTAATTATTGACATGGGTGGGTATAAGTTTACCATTTCATGTTTTCTTTTTGTCCCTCCAGAATTTGGGGGGGGGGATTGTTTGTTTATTCTGTTGTGGTTTTTTTTTTTTGCCTTCTTTTGAGTAAATCAATATTTTAAAATATTCAATCATATTTTACCTAAGCTTTGTAGCTCCACTCTTACTATTTTCTAAGCAGGTGGGCCAAAAATACACATCCATAACTCATCAAACCCTACCTAGAGTTAATAGTGTATCACTTAATCCTGCCGCCATACATCTGACACTTTCACTTCTGATGACCATTTTGACATTTTCTGTCTCAAAACAGAATTCAGGACTTAACTATATCAATAATTCCAAAATGAAAATAGACAAATACTCCAATTAAAAGACATAGCTAATCAAGACTGGATAAAAAAGCAAGACCCAATTATAAGCTGTCTAAAATCTCAACCTCTAGGAGAGGGACAAAAAGTATCACAGAAGGGATCAAGGGATATGTGGGTAAGGACCACAAACCTCAGTGCTGGGATCATAGCATGACAAAATCTGATCCCTGTGAGAAGTGCATGTTGCCTTTCTGGCTCATTTCCTAGGTATGCTGGGATATCCCATTGAATAATCTGCCATCTAATTAGGCATTTTCCAAATATCACTCATCAGAAAGCAAGCCCAGCTCCTTCTGAGCAAGGTGAGGTGGCTATACATTCACTTGCAATTTCTCTAAATCATAGAGGCTCTTAAGGAGAATCAGCCTGATCCACATGCCCAACAGGGGTACAGAGCAGATTTACCTGCTGGGTACATGGGAAGGTAAACCAGAAAAGACTACAGTCAGGTTGTACCACCTATAAGCTGTGTGACCTTGGGCGAACCACTTCAGGCTCTGAGTTATGGGATCCTTATCTGCAATGGGCACGGTAAAGCCTAGGGCTCCTGTTTATGTGAACAGTACCCTTTGCAGTAGAGCAGTGCAGATTCTGCACAGCCACAAGTGGAGGCCCTGATACAGCCTACCTTGCAGCGGTGCTGTGAGCATTTTGTGAGGTAGAGTATTAATAACAACCATCCCAGGAGATCCCTGGGTGGCTCAGCAGTTTGGTGCCTGCCTTTGGCCCACTGCGCCATCCTGGAGTCCCGGGATCGAGTCCCACATCGGGCTCCCGGCATGGAGCCTGCTTCTCTCTCTGCCTGTGTCTCTGCCTCTCTCTCTCTCTATCACGAATAAATAAATAAAATATTAAAAAAAATAACAATCATCCCAGAGCCTGACAATTGAGACAGAGTAAATCAATTAAGGTCCATCTATCCAGTGGAATACAACATAGCCATTAAAACTCATGATTGAGATCTCTGTTTACTGAAGCAGAAAGTTCCTTGTGCTTTATTATATATGGGAAATGCAGCCTACAGAATACCAAGGATAATTTGATCTTGTTTCCATCAACACAAATATGGATATATATGCACAAAAAAAAAAAATCCTGACAGAAGAACCCCAAAGTGTCAGATTTGGAGCACAGAGTTTTTCCTTTGTTCAGATTTCCACATTTTTCTATCATGAATATGCTTTCAATTTGAGATTAGAAAAAAAATAAAATTTATTTTTAGTTGGCTCTTTTCCTTTCCATCTATGATGCTTCTCTGAATTTTAACTATAAAATTGAAATAATGATAAAAAGAAAAAAATAGTGCTGCATATATCTTATTCCACTCAACACCTAAGGTAGGAACTAGGACGTTCATTTCTTAGAGGAAGAAATGGATTCTTGGAGAGAGCAGTGCTCTGGTACAGAAGGTAATGCTCTCTATTCACAGGGCTGCCCTGTGGTTTCATGCCAGGAAGGAGCATGGGTGTTTGATGAAGTTTCAGGTACCCACAGTGGGCAGTAGGATGGCATGGTCAGAGTGTGGGCTCTGGAGCCAGATGGCCAGTATTAAATCCCAGCTGTGTCCCTTCCAGCCTGTGTAACCTTGTATAAGTGATTTCACCTCTCTGAGCCTCAGCTTCCTTATCTGTAAAACAGGAGTAGCAAAAGTGCCATGTTGGAGGGCTGAGCTGATTACATGAGATAGTTCTTGCCCAGCGTCAGTACTTGCTGAGTGAGACATTTGGTCATATTAATATTCTCTAGACTAGCTCTGGACTCCTGGGTTCAACAGGGATTATCTTTCTCTCTGTGACATACATTATTCAGAGGAAGGGGGACCCTGAGGGTCACAGAGCAGAGCTTTGTGACCATGTTCCTGCTCTGATGTCCATATGCCCCACTCTGCCCAGCTTGGTGGGTTAGAGGGATGCTTCCCTATCTATGTATGCCACACAAAACAGGACCTGTGGACCAGCATTTCAACAGAGGCAGTGTGACTCCCGGGGGCGCTGGAGGTGGTTGCAATAAACGGGGGCATGACTAGCATCGAGTAGACGGAGGCCAGAATGGCTAAGCTCCCTGTGCTACTCTAGACAAACTTTTCTGCCAGACATTCTTTTAGGTGAAAAACTTTAGACTTAACTGAGGTTAGAATCTGTTTCTCATAAAAACACAAACTATTTTCATATTTTTTTAATAAATACACACTGAATTTTCCTAGAATTTGAACACCATGTAAATCAAGGCAAGAGTTAATTCACCATTTTGCCCAATCACCTCAGCAACAATAACTCTGCCTGTAGTGTGTTTGAAATAAACACACCTCAATCTACACTTAAGAATGTCACATTCAGGGCAGCCTGGGTGGCTCAACAGTTTGGCACCACCTTTGGCCCAGGGCGTGATCCTGGAGACCCAGGATCGAGTCCCACATCAGGCTCCCTGCATGGAGCCTGCTTCTCCCTCTGCCTGTGTCTCTGCCTCTCTCTCTCTCTCTCTCTCTCTCTCTCTCTCTCTCTCTCTGCGTCTCTCATGAATAAATAAAGAAAATCTTAAAAAAAAAAGAATGTCACATTCACTGTGATTCTGCATCTAGAATAGGGAAAGGGAGAGAAATTCTCCAAGCAGAGGGACGAGTATGTGCAAAGACCCTGGGGTTGCAGGGAGCAAGCGATGTTGCCAAAGCAGACCACTGCAGTGGGGCAGTGTGAGCTTGGGGGAATGACATGGGTAGAGAAGCTACAAAGGCTGGATAACACAGGGCCTTGGGGCCAGGCTCAGAATCCAGCGCTATGAGAACCTAAGAAAAGCTTGTCATCAGAGAAGGACATGTTCAGATTTGCATTTTGAAAGAAGTCAACCTGTACACAGAATAGAAAGGGCAGTAGTGGAGGCTGGAGGCCAGTGAGAGGTTCCTGCAGTCCTCCTGCAGTGAGGACTGACGTGATCTGAACTGCTGGGGAGATAGTGTTCCAAGGAGACAGAAGCTATCCAACCTGAGGATGTCTTGGATATGGGGATGAGGAGGTATCATGGTTCCTCTCCTATAGTCCTGGTTTGAGGATGGATGGTGGGGTGTTTTACCTTCTAAGACCTGAACTGAGGAGAGGAATGAGCTGAGGAGGCAGGTTGTACTTGCACTATGACCATCCATCCATCACCCAAGGCCTCCCTCGCCTTTGGCAAACTTACCTGACTCTGCCACCTCGGCAATGGGCACCCCCTGTTCATATGCCATGAAGCCCAGGACTGAGAAGATGGCAAAGCCAGCCACGAAGCTGGTGCCACTGTTGAGGCAACAAAGCATGATGCAGTCCCTGTGGGGAAGCAGCGAGAGGGGCTGAGGTCAGAGTGGGTGGAACAGGTACACTGCTCGAACATTCTGAGTTCCACAGCCACCCTGTGAGGCAGGAAGGCCAAGGTGGGCACAGATAGCCCCGTGTGCCCATTGAAGCCGTTGTGGTTCAGAGAGGTTAGGTGGCTGGCCCATGGTCACACAGCTTCTCCTGCATTTCTAGAAGATAAGGTGGGTCATGGACCAGAAAGCATGGAAGGGGGATGGGAAGGAAGAAAGCCTGGCAAGTGAGAAAATATACAACCAGCGAGAAGATAGTCAGGGACAAAGCAATGCTCTTCTCTACCTCTGGCAGGAGAGGAAACCAGGGAACGTGAGAGAGGAGTGCTTTCCTGGGAGTTCAAAGCAAGAAGGGCAGGAGAGGCCTCTGAGAAATGGCTGCTTCTGTCAGGGGAGCATCCATGGACTTTACACCAGAAGCTCCCACCAGCTTCACGCCATGCTACATACTAGAGCAGCACCTCACGGACCTCCCAGGTCAGTCCCTGTGAGGGAGCAGCCTCTGGCAGGTTGGGCTCCACATGGAGGGATTACCGGAGCAGTGACTGTCTCTTGCCCTTGAGAGGGGCTTACCAGCAAAGAAGCACCAGCATAAAGCTGAGACCCAGGAGAAATCAGAGTACAAATGATGGGGCTTTGCCAAGATGAAGACAGAATCAAGTCCTGGCCTCCCCTACCTCAGGCATTGCATCCTCCCACGGCTATACTGGGGAATCGGCCTCTTAGGATCTTCTCAGCTGCTGCACAGCAGGCATTTGCCAGTTAGGCTTATGACACACATGATGCTCCACTGCACAGGGAGGTGCTCCCAAGTGGCCCATCCAGCCTCCTGTCTCAGGTATGACTGGCCTGGGGGCCGTCCCTGTGGTGGTGATGGGCTGCCTCTGGTCACACCCTAGCAAGCCTAGGCCTCTCATTCCATGCTCCTTTCCCTGCCTGGCCGGCTTGTGCTGCTTACAGCAGTAAGAACTTCCTCGTGTGTGTTGAACCAGAACCTCCTTCTCTGGTGAATTTTAGTTCTGCCCTTCCTACCAGCCTGGAGCTCCATCAGGTTTGGGAGATCTGAAGACGGCGGCCCTACCTCCCCTTTGAGTTTTTAATTCCTTCAGTTAATCATCCCAGTTCCTCATCCTGCTGGTGACCTGTAATACACTCCAGCTTGTCTGGCTCCTCTTTCAAATGCCATGTCCAGGACTGAGCGTGAGACTCAAGGACACAGCAGGATTCTCACCTCCTCTTCTCCTGACAGCATACTTTTTGTAATGTAACCAAAGGTTACACTAATGCTGGTGACTGTGATACCCAGTTGCCTTGCAATGATTCTGAGAATCAAGGGCATATTGGGGAAGGCATTACCCTGGGGGTCAGGAGACATGGGCTCTACTTTCCCCTGCAATTCTTTTTTCTGGACCTGACCTTACCATATGGCAAAAACACTTGATAACAGGGTTTCTTGGGTCTTATGACAGATTATGTAATTTTCCAGCAAGCAGTCATCTCCCCCTACTTTCTTCCTTGAGGATGAACATAATTACCTGCCCCACTGGCTTTGGGCTTAGCCACATGACTTCCGTTGGCCACAGGATATTAGCAGATATGACACAAACAGAGGCTTGAGATATGCTCATGTGACTGAACCTGTCCTTTATGCCTTCTGTGATTTGCCAGGAAAGGAACTTCCCCAAGGGAGGCTGTCCCTGCAGTCTGCACCTCACCATGTTTATACACAAAGCAGATTTGACTGGCCAGGAGACTTGTAAGCAATAAAAGCAAATGCCTGTCATGTTAAACCACTGAGTTCTTGGGGGCTGTTTGTTATACAGCATCACTATGGCAGTGAGTGACTGATTACAGGTCCCTTTAAAGAACTCTTCCAGCACTGTGAATGTAGGTTGGGCTGGAAAACCTGAAGACTATCTGCAAGCCTGACTCCTCTCTTCCTAAAGGGAAATGCAGCTCAGCCCAGGTTCGGGGAGATTTATCCCTAATGTTGGGGTAAAGCTGCTCCTCATGCCTATTTCCTGATCCTGCCTCATCAAACAGTGGGAAACAAGGTGGTCCTGGTGAGGAAAGTGCTTTCTCTATATCCTTTACTTTCTGGAATTCTCCTGGATAATTTGAATCTACAATGTGCCTAAAACACTGTGTGACTGAATTTTGAGGCTCAGGGAGGAGAGTCACATACTCAAGGTCTCAGGACATCTACTGGTGAGGTTGGAATGTGCATTCATTTATCTTAGGCACTAAAGCCCATGCATTTTCCAGTAGCTGCACAAAAGCAATGCCCCCTAAGAATTAAGACTTTCAGATTCTGACAATTATCTGTGGGCACCCATGTGGTTATTGAGAAACAAATACCCCTTATTGCAAAGTCCCCATCTGTCCCAAGGTCTCCTGAGTGATTTTCTCACACCGCAGAAGGACAAAGAAGCACGGAGCAGACCTGACGTCCCTTCCAGCCTGGTGTCCCACACCCCAGCCCTCAGAGCACCCACACCTTCAAGCAGAAGGGGCTTAGTAGCCTGTGTTCTGAAGTGAGGATTTTCTCCTACTGGTTTGCTGTATTTCCCATCCCGCTAATTCCTTCCTGCAGGGCACCTTCTAGGTGAAAAGCTTATATAACAAGTGCTTTAAAGTTGGCAGAAGCTGAGTTGGGCTTTGAAGACCTCCAAAAGCTATTATGCTGTCAGAAGAGAGGGTACTAATTTACTCTCTCTGAGTTGGGAAGACCTGCTTGCAGAACAATTTGGAAGTGGAAGTAAAACAGGCGTTTGGATTTGCAACATCACCTAGGGGATTTGCCTTCTGCTGCTGCTGGGAGGGGAAAAACCTGCCTACTGGATGGGACAGCAGAATGGATCTGTGGCAGCCAGCATATTTTACCCACATGCTTGGTGGGGAAGACAGTTGCCACTGTCTCAGGACACAGCCTGAAGACAGGGAAGTCTTGGACAAATTCCTGTGAGCTACAGTTGTTGAGAAAGAAATGGCCATCTGTAAGTGAGGAATATGGGTGCAGGAACCAGAAAGGCCTGGGTTCAAAGCCATGTTCCACCACGGTCATGTGAACATGAGCAAGTGACCTAACCTACTCTTGGGCCTCAGTTTCCTCATCTGTATAACAGATGGCTCCTTCCTTGCTTCCTGACACATCAGTCAGCACTGTATTAGGCTTGAGGGATGGTGGGGAACAAGAAGACCCAGCCTGTGTCCTCATGGAATGGACAGCCGAGCAGTGACCAAGTGATTTCTGCAGTGCCCTGCAGAGAGGGCTCGTGTTGAATGCTGGCTGCTGATGTGGTGACACATCCTTCTCTAACATCCCAGGGGGTCACGCTCAACCCAGACCAGAGGACTGCTGTGCTATTGTCCCTGTCCATGGTTACTATTTTGTATTGTGGCTGACACAGCGCCACCTCCCTGTGAATGCCAGGAAGGTAGAAAGGATCTTATGGACAACCTGGCATGGTCAACCAACTCTCCAGCATCCTTCTGTGCAGGCTTACACAATACCACTCTGCCCACGGGCCCCCAGGAACAACAGAACCTGCTGTCTAATGGCACATTGGATTCCACGATGGATTTTCCTTATAGCACCTGCCCACTGTCACTTCCGCTGCAGTGCCTCAGTTTCCCCAACTTGTGCCAATCCTATGTGTAGCTCCTAAGGCACTGATTCTGGTGTTTCATGTTCAGCAGACACACAATGCACACGGTTTAAACGAATGGATTAATAAAGTGATCACAAAGCTAGCTTTCAGAGAGTTGTGGCAGAGTCCTGGAATGGAAGCCGGGAGACCTCAGCCAGAGTCCAGGCTCTACTGTGTGTAACTGGGGAGCCACCTCTATGAGTATTTCTTTCCCCATCTCAATGATGGGGATATTATGGGAGGAACTTCATCATTGCTAAAAGTTCTTTCAAATGCATGATCTCACTGGAGCCACACAGTGGTGTGGTTATTAGGTACAAGTCCCCTGAAGAGCTACTTATTATGACCAGGCCCTGGATCAGGGGTGCAGAGATCTCAGCAAACAGACCACTGGCCTAGAGGTAGAGTCCAGGGTGCCAATTTCACTTGTACCATGCCCTGCTTGGTGACTTTGGATGGGTTCTTGGCCCTCAGTGGGTCACAGCCTCATAGTAGAAATCAGGCTGCAGGCATGAGAGGCCTGACAGCCTCAGGCTCACCTCCCAACACAGACACTTTCCCTCCCTGTGCTGGGAGTAGCCACACTCAGGCGGCCAGGGAGGAAGGCTGAGAGGTAAGATGGGGCACTGGCCATACTCCAGATTGGACAGGAGAGAGCCCTCCAATCAAGTGAGAAGGAGCAAGAAGCAGGTTTCTGAACAGAAGACAGAAGAACAAAGCCTCACTGTCAGAAGGTTCAAGTCTGGGTTGAAGTCTCGATTTTGCCACTGACGAGCTATGTGACCGTGGGCAAATCACTTATCTGCCTTGGGATAAATTTGTGCCATACAGGGTGGGATGGAGGCCCAAATAAGATTCCTGGAGCGGATTTGTTTTCAGCCTACAATGCACTCTGATCACATTCATTATTTTTCTAGCTTCTCAGATAGCCCATTCTTTGACCCTAGGGCAGGGAGAGGCTAAGAAGCAGGCCATCTGTCTTGCCCTGGTTCTACATGGGGGGAAGACAAATGCGAACTAGCTGACAGCATGGAGGGGTTTGGTGGAGAGCTGGCAGGGCCATGAAATGCTCACCTGTAGCAGTTGTTGTTATAATTGTTATAACTTCCCAAAGCCGTCAGACAACCCAGGCAGATGGCATAGGAGAAAAAGATCTGCGTCCCAGCATCTACCCAGACCTGCAGGAAGGTACAGAGAAGTCAGCATAAAGAGAAGTCAGATGAGCTGCTGCCCTATTCTCTGAAATCCCCCATCCACACCTTATGCTCCACAAAATCTAGACAAAGCCATAATCAAACTTCCTAATCCTCTCAGGAATGTGTTTTAGGAGTTCTATTATTGGGGACTACTTCATTAAATATAAATGTCCTTAATTCCAGAATTTTCCAGAGGTTCACTGAACAGCAAGCGTTTGGATGTTTTAGGGCCCTGCTCCAGCTATATGACCTTGGAAAAGCTACTTAACCTCTCTGAGGCTTAGTCTCCTCATCTGCCAACTGGGGAGTGACCTTCCCTCTCAGGACTCTTAAGAGGATTCATGCAATATGGAATGGAAGCTCCTGGGACCCAGCTCATAAGCTAAGTCAGAGTTAAGCCAAAATGAGTGACTTCTTATCTTTGTGATTAAGATTACCATGAGTAAACAGTCCTAGGATTCTGCTCATGGGGCAAATATTTGCATAGCTTATCTAAGCATAAGAGGTGGCAGGGGAGGGATGGGTGGGGGCACCTGTATCTTTCATCTTTCAAAATAGATGCATTTTAGGCTTCCTGTGTGGTACATAAGGGAAACTACTTTCTTAGTCTCCAGGTTCCTCTCTGACAAAAACTGCTGTTGACAGCATGACACACACACACCAGGAATTATGATGGCTTCTTTAGCACTTTTCCCCAGGCTCTTTCTAAGCCCAGCTCCAAGAAAAATTCATAGCCAAAGCTAAATGCAGCCGATGAAACTGATGCTTGAGAATCAGGTGCCATCTAGAGAGCAAGGCTTTGTACTAAATACAATTACTGGCTAACACACATACATATATTCATTCATTCATAAAGGTTTTATTGATTTATTCATAAGAGACATAGGAAGAGGGAGAAGCAGGCTCTCTGTGGGGAGCCCGATGTGGGACTCCATCCCAGGACCCCGGGATCATGAGCTGAGCCAAAGGCAGACACCCAACCACTGAGCCACCCAGGTGCTCCCGGCTAACATTTATTGGGCACTTGTTATGTGCCAGGCACCGGTGCTGAGCTCTTGTGTATTATGATACTTGAATATTCACAACAACTCTACGTGGTAAGAAATATTATTCGCCTCCTTTTACAGCTGAGGAAACTGAGAAACAGAAAGGTTGAGTAACTTGTTCAAGACCCACAGCTGGGAATGGCAAAGTCAAGTCCATGGATACTGGCCTTTAGAGATACATGGTTAACCAATCCCAGAATTTCAGAAATCCTCTGGGGTAATGTACCATCCAAAACAAGCCTCTCTTCCGAGTACTCCTGATAGAATAGTTTGTTTGGTTACTGCTAGTGACAGGAAACTCACTATACCCTTATGTGGCCCCTTCTTATTTGGAGAGTTCTGACCATTAGAACATTTCTGAAAATGAGAGGGAATCCCTCTTCCCTGAAGGCATTCCTCATTCTGAGGCCATCCAGACCACACCTCCCTCTTCTTTGTGGTAGCACATTAGAGATTTGGAGAAAGCACCGGTGCCCTGTGGATCCTAGAACTCTTCCATCTCGAGGCAAAATAACTCTTACTTCCTTTCTCAGGGATTTGATTACAACAGTACAGGTCACTCTACCCTGGATTTGCTTGAGTTTGTTCAATCATTCAACAAATACATATTAAAACTGAGCATCATAATGCTGCTTCTCAACCTAAGAAATGAATAACATTTTTCTCCCCTCACTGGAGCATCTTGGAACTGAATGAGGAACTTAAATAGAGCTTTTTCATGAAGTGTGTGTATGTGTGTGTGTGTGTGTGTAGAGCAGGGATGGCAGCAGAGCAGATTGAATTGAGACAGGAGGAGGAGGAAATAGAAAGATGGAATACAAAAAGCTTTTTTAAAAAATGTTGCCACAAAGAGGAATTGGGAGATAGGTAGTGGAAGGGTAATTTAGGGAGAAATGTTCTTTAAATGTTAGAAACTTGAGGATGCCTAAATGTCAGTAGGAAAAGTCCAGTGCAGACAAAAGTGTTATAGATTTAGGAGAGAAAGGTATGCATTTTCAAGTCCTTGTATTCTGCCTCAGTTTCCCCATTTGCTACCTCAGTGGATTCTCTTTACTCCAATCCAGGGTAGTGACCTATACCAGGTACTCAAATCCCCAAGAGGAAGAAAATAGAGGTATTTTGCCTGGAGAAGGGAGAGCTCTAGTGTCTAAGGGCCCTGGTGCCTCTTCTGAATCTCTGATCTAAGACCAGGAGTAAATCATGTGGAGAAGTAAAACACAGTAGAGATGCTGCCCCAGGAAACAGAAGACCAGATCACAGGAGCAACCTACCAGGATGCTTGGCACTCAGTTGAGAACTGCTTCTCAAGACCCTCACTCTTGCCAGAAATGCCTCTGCAAATTAAAATGTCCCTCCTCCCAGACCCTTCACTGTCCTCTGACTGTCCAAGCCAGAGTGAGAAAAACGACTAGACTTGTGGGAAATCTGACTTTTCCATTGTGACTGGGCCCTGTGTCAATTGGTTCCTTCACTCAGTTCCTTCACCCAAAACAAGCCCTCTGTGAAAACACCAAGAGCTTTCTATCCACACATCCCAAAGATGTGACCCCCTTAAAGAATGATTTTCACTTGTGGCAATTTTCCTTGCAGTCTGCTCATTGAGCACATCAACACTAAAACAGACAACTGGTTTTGCCCACCCAGCATCCATCTCCCCTTGTCAGCTAATAGTATCCTAATTTTCTTTTGGGAAACTACCTCTTCTCCACAGGGAGGTAGCTTCAGGGGTGGTCACATGACCCAGGCCTGGCCAATCAAAGCATTTCTCTTGGCCAGAGTGATTGGTTCAGGGATGAACACAGGATGCAAGCCAAGCCAATGAAACTTAATCCTGGGACTTTTACTGGAGCTACTGCAAATAGGACACATCCTTTTCTCCTGAAGATGCTAAGCTTGTAATTACTGAGGATCATCACTGACTATGAGAGAAGAGCCTGTCTGAGAACAAAAACAATGCAGAGGAAAGCAGAATCTAGAGCAAAGAAAGACTGATATTGGTGTAATGACTTGAGCACCTGGATCCAGCCATACCTGAAATGAGACCTACCCTAGAACAGTTCAATTTCAAAGGCCTATAAATTCTTCGTTTTCTTAAGTCAATTTGAATTGCATTGCTGTCACTTCAAACTCAAGGAATTCTGACTAGTGCCAACATTAATTTCTTAGAAAAACCCAGGGGCTGTAAGCCTAAATCCTTCAATCAATCCTGAATTACTGATGAACCAGAATTTATTGAGTGCCTTTTGTATGCAGAACCCTGTTCCAGAATCTGAAAATACTACTATATGATTATATATAGCACTGCATCTCTGTCTGTAGGTGAGATAAGGTGAAACATTCAGAGGACAAGGTAGCCAGTACCTAGGAGTGCTTGATGAAGGGGACAACTAACTTGTGCTAGAGAAATCAGAGAAGGCTGTCTGGATGGAGGCACACCTTTAAGGACTGGAGAAACGATGAGAGAGGACATCTTGTGTCTGGAGATTCATAGGAGAGGGGGATGTGTTCTCAAATGATTTTTCTTTCTTGTTCTCCTACCTCTATGGTAAAAAAAAAAAAACAAACAAAAAACAAACAAACAAAAAAAAAAAACGAAAACAAACAAAAGAAAACAAAAAACACACCTGTCATTGTATTCTGATGGTTAGTATTAAATCAATACTTCTATACAATACCTTTTGTCCTCCCCCTTTGTGACACCAAGGGTTGGTTCCCAACTATAAGGAATACTGAAATTAGCCAGCAATCTCAGTTTCTTTTCCTTCCCTTTCCTCTAGTACCTTAATTAGAAGAAATACTCATTTATTTACAGTTGACATGTAAAGGCATTATGCGAACTTACTCTATTTTTCATATATACACTTCCTTCTTTCCCAATTTTTAAAAAGATTTTATTTATTCATGAGAGACACACACAGAGAGAGAGAGAGGCAGAGACATAGGCAGGGGGAGAAGCAGGCCTGCAGGGAGCCTGATGTGGGATTGGATCCCAGGGCATTGGGATCACGACCTGGGCCAAAGGCAGATGCTCAACCACTGAGCCACCCAGGTGTCCCCCTTCTTTCCAAATTTTTTTTTTTAAATTTTTTTAAATTTATTTTATGATAGTCACACACAGAGAGAGAGAGAGGCAGAGACACAGGCAGAGGGAGAAGCAGGCTCCATGCACTGAGAGCCGGACGTGGGATTTGATCCCGAGTCTCCAGAATCGCGCCCTGGGCCAAAGGCAGGCGCCAAACCGCTGCGCCACCCAGGGATCCCTCTTTCCAAATTTTTAATACTTGTTTGTATCTGCATGATCATAATGTACAACCATTACATATTATATAATCTATCTGACAGCCACTGTTTAGTGTGAGTTCTATGGGTGACTATAAATTTAATGCTCCCTCCCAGCCCTTAAGTTAATACTTCAGTCAGTTTGATGGTCTGTAGCTTGTTTTCCAGTAAATCCCTTAGGCAAGTCTCACAGGAAATAATATTTCCTGGCTTCTTGCACGTTCATAATAGTTGACCAATGGCTTTCGTACTTGAACATCACTTTGGCTGTATATAATTTCCTTGGTTGTCTTCTCCTTAGTATCTTAAATATCTTGCTTAGTTGTCTCCTGACACTGCATACTGCTGTAGAAAAGTCTGGTACCATTCTTACTCACTCTTTTTGTCTGAATGACCAAGAAGTTTTCTTCTTTTCTCTTTAATGCTTGGTCATTTTGATTAGAATAGGTCTTAATGTTGATCACTCTGGGTTGATTTTCCCAGGCTTGTGGTGTACTTCTTCAAGATACAAGCAAGTCTCCACTTTGATTTCAGGGAAAAAACATCTCTGAATTATTGTTTTAGGTATTTGTTTTCTTCCCCTGCTTCACATTTCTTCTTTGGGGGCTCATTTTTATGTTGCATCTTCTTTGTATACCTTTTATTATCACTTTTCCT